TAGCGCCATTTGTTAAGAAGGCTATCATTCTACTAGCTATAGTAATTGATCCCTTTATCAAGCATAAGTTAGCTGAGTGTGCCTGGAGTTGTTTCTGCATTCTATATTCTGTTGACTCTAAAGTCTTTTCTTTCTTTCTTTCTTTCTTTTTCTTTCTTTCTCTCTCTCTCTCTCTCTCTCTCTCTCTCTCTCTCTCTCTCTCTCTCTCTCTCTCTCTTTCTTTCAATACTATCCGATTTTTGTCACTGTATCTTTGTGGTATTATTGAAGCCTGGGATTGTGATGCTTCCTCCCTTTCCCTTGTGGCTGTTCTAGGTTTCTTCTAGTCCCATATAAATTTAGGATTATTTTCTTTGGCTATGAAGGATTCTACTGGTATTTTAATGGGGATTGTGTTAAATCTGTATTAACAGTTTTGAAAGTATAGTCATTTTGACTATATTGTTTTTGGAGACATTTTTCCATTTTCTTTTATCCAGTTCAATCTCCTTTATCAGAGTACTGTAGTTTTCATTATAAAAGTCTTCCATTTTCTTGATTAAGTTTATTTCTACGTATTTCATTTTACTTGCTACTATTGTGAAAGGTGTTGTTTTCCTAATTTCTCACTCTGTAATTTGGTGCCCAGAAACACATTGATTTTTTTTGAAAAATACTTTTTTAATTTTGAAAGCAGAAAAGAAAAAAGGGTAGAAATAATACAGAATTTCAAAAACAGTAAGAAATCAACACTAGTTAATATATCACACAATGTTATCTTAGAATTAGTTTCTCATATCATATTGTCTCTTTAGTGTAAAAAAATTTAAAAAACTGAAAGAGTAATAAGTTCCAAGATGTACAATAGATATTATAATAATGAAAGAGAAATAAAGTGTTCAAAAGGAAAGAACAACCTGTAGGTACACACATATAATTGTATGTACATTTAAGTGTGCAAGGTAGATAACCATACTACTAATTCTGTTTATCAAAAATAATAGCTTGTGCTGTCATTGTTTCATTGTCTGTTCAGTTTTTGTGCTTTGATTTTGTAACACTATTGATTTTTTAATGTTTACCTCATATACTACTATACTACCAGATTTTGGTTATTAATTCCAGGGGTTTGTTGGTAGAGTTTTGGGGAATTTCTATTTAGAGTATCATACCTTCTGCAAATAATAATAATTTAACTTCTTTCTCTTGTCAAACAGCTCTGGCTAATGTTTTAAGAACTATATGGAACAGGAGTTGTCTTGTTCCTGATTTTAGAAGGGAAGTTTAACCTTCTCACTATTGAAGATGATGTCAGCTATTGTTTTGTCATAATGATTTTTATCAAATTGAGATAAAGACTCTCTATACCCTATTTTGTTTGGAGTTTTTGTCATGAATTGATTTTAGGTTTTGCAAAATGTTTTTCTGCGTTTATTGAAATGATCAGGTGATTTTTCCCCCTTACTTCTCTTTATGCAGTATATTACATTTAGTACTTTGCCGATGTTGAACCATTTCTGCATCCTTATAATGAAGCCTACTTGGTCACGGGATATAATCATTTTCATGATTTTTTGCACTCTGTTTGCCAGTACCTTGGTGAGGATTTTTGCATTAGTGTTATTTAAGAGATTGGCTTGTAGTTCTCTTTTAGTTGTGTCCTTTTCAGTTTTAGAATCATGATAATGGTTGCTTCCTGGAATGGCTCTGGGAGTACAACCTAATTTTTTATTTCATTAAGTATTTTGAAGAATACTGGATTTAGATCTTTTCAAAAGTTGTTACAGAATTTGGCAGTCAATATTCCAGGACTGGAACTTTTCTTAGTTGGCAGTTTTTAAATTACTTCTTCAATTCATTGACCAATATTAGTTCATTCAGCATTTTTGTATGTTCTTTATTCAGCTTTGCTATTTCATATGTATCTAAGATTTTAATCCATTGCTTGTGAATAAGTACTACATACTAATCCGTTGTACCACTGGAGATTCTATCCATTTCTTTAGAATTTTCCATTTTATTTCAATGTACACTCTCAGAGAAGTTACCCATGATCTTCTGGATTTTGGCAATATGTTTTGTGATTTTACTTTGTTTACTATTGTAAAAGGATTTGGATTTTTTTCTTTCCTTGTTTTGTTAGGCTGAATCACGTTTTGTCTCTTTTGTTTAATCTTTCAAATACTTAGCTCTTTGATTCCTTGATTCTTTGTAATTTTTAAATTTCAAATGCATTCATTTTTGCCATAATCTTAATAACTTCCTTTCTCATGCTATCCTTGGGTTTAGATTGTTCTTGTTTTCTATGACCTTGAAGTGTGTTGAAAGATTATTTACTTGAGCTTGCTGTTTTTCTGGTGTGGGCATTCACAGCTTTAAACTTCTATTTTTGGACTACTTTCATTGTGTCCCATGGGTTCCAGTATGTTGCAATGGTATTATCATTTAATTCTAGGAATTGTTTAATTTCTTCCTTAATTTATTTTGAAATCAATTGATTATTGAAGAGTGTATTGTTTAATTTTCATGTTTGCAGAATTTCTTGGGTTTCTTTCACCACTGCACTACTGATTTCTAGTTTCATTGTACTATAGTCTGATAATATGCACAGGATAATTTTGATTCTTTTTTTTTTGTCTTTTTCCTTTTTTATCGGTACCAGGGATAAAACTCACGATTGCCTGCTTGCAAGGCAGGCGATTAGGCCGCTGAGCTAAATCCCCAGCCCCAGTCTTTTGTACATATTTAATCATCTTTTATTGGGTAGTATATGGTTTATTTTAAGAAAGAGTACACTGAGAAAAGTTTGTGTTCTGTTTCTGTTGGGTGGGATAGACTGTAGATATCTATTAATAGATTAATAATTTAATTAAATTAATTATTAATATTAATAATATTATAGATATTAATATTAAATAAATATTAAATATGTATTATATTATATATAATATAATTATATTATAATCATATATATTATAAATATATATAATTATATATAATACATATAATATAATATATAATATATTATTATATTAATTATTAATTATTAATAATTTGAATAAATTAATAATTTGTTCAAAGATTTGGTTCAGTTTTGATATTTTTTGTTGATTCCTTTTTGATTTGCTTATTTATGATAGTGGGGACTGAAGTCTCCCATTACAATTTTATTGGTGATTATCTCAATTTTCATGTTCAGAAGTGTTTGTTTTATGAAGTTGAGTGTGCAGGTGTTTGGCATTTAAATGTTTATAATTGTTATCTCTTCTTGTCAAATTTTTCCCTTAAGCTGTATGTACTGCCTTTCTTTGTCTATTATGTTCAGTTCAGTTTTAGGTTGAAATTCACTTTTTCTGAAATTAAGATAGTTTGTCCTGCTTTTTACCACATTCCTGATGCATGGTAAATGTCCTCCATACTTTGATTTTTAATCTATGAATTTCTTTTTTTAATTAAATGTGTTTTTTATATTGCATATCATTGGTTTTCTTTCTCAATTCATTCTCCCAATCTGTGCCTTCATGGGTTGATTGGTGGGTTGAGACACGGTCTCTTTTTGTAAGGGCCAAAACATTTTTAGAACCTGAAATGTATGTACAAAAGACACTATTAAGAACTTTCACACTTCTGAAATCATATTTGGAATAGTAAGATATCATGACAAATGTATAAATTAGTATAGATAACCTTTCTACTATTATATGTGATGGTTCCAAGTTTTTGAAAATAAATTGAGCAAGAAAAAAAAACCATATCCTGACAAACAAGAATCTTTTCTGGAAATTGTCTAGATGATATCAAAATTATTTTAAATGTTTTCAAATGTCAAACTTTTAAGCATAGTTTCATGTATTTGTGTTGGAAAGTAGATTTCAGTGTTGGAAACTAGATCTCCGTGTCAAAAATACCAAGAGATTCTGTAGACTCAGAATTCCAAAAAAAAAAAAAAAAAGTTAATAAACCCTTATCCTTGTTACTAAAAATGACCCAGGCAAGGTACTTCATTCAGCTATGGGGATGAGCTTGCTTCCTGATCTCTTAGCTTCCTCTGCTTTCATATCACCTTGCCAACGCTTTATAAAGATGTTGCTTGCAATGAAATCGATTGACAGAAAACTTGGCAATTCAAACAGCACTTAGATGTTTCTTCTTTTTCAATTCCATAAGTCAAGATGAACCCAATTTGCTCCAGCCATTCATCAGGATCTTATGACCTGGTCTAATAGAGAACTAATAGAGACTTTATGGCTCGGTTCCCTTGTCCCATGAATCTAGTTTATACCAAAAGCAATTCCTAGCTTCTCAGAAGTATATGTTGCTTATCTTGAATCCAAAATCAAAACCATTTTTAAATGTCATATTTCTTGATATTTACAAAATGTGTTTAACTGCAGAAAGTGATACTCATACGGCTTAATTAGGGAAATCCATTGATCCCTCAATCAACCTGTGTTTTCTCTGGGACCTAGAGTGTGTTCCCAGAACAGAGTGAGGGTCGAGCAGCAGAATCTGGAAAGACTTTGTAAACCTAGTTAGACTTTGGTCAATTCAGAAAGCCTTGCCTCCTCAGAGCCTTTGAAATTCTTTTGCAGCCCTTTCTACATAGCCATTTACCCAGAAAATTCATCTATTTTCACAATAATGCAACATCTTTAGAGGACAGAAGGAAAAGAAGAGAATCTGAAGAAAAGAGAGAGAGAGATCTGTAGTTACAGTCTGTGGGAACTAGTTCAGGGCTGACTGAACACAATGAAGAATTCAGACTCCCTTCTCAGATCTAGCTAAAAGATAGTTCTGAGATTATGCATAGTTTTAAGTTGTGGATTCAAGGTAGAGAGAGCCAAGAGGAATGAAGGAAATTGTAGCAGCCATGAAGTTGAATGTGTTTGCATCCTTTCTCTACTAGAAATCTAAATTATTTACCAGGAAGAAACAGGTTATCCTTAGGTGCATGATCTTGTTGATCCAATCGAACCTGGAGTGGTTATTCACTGATGTACGTTTCTCTCTTTCCTTCCCAGGACAGCTTTCCTGCCCGCTTTGGAGGCGTTCATTTTGTCAACCAACCCTGGTATATTCATGCTCTGTATACGCTCATCAAGCCATTCCTTAAAGACAAGACCAGAAAACGGGTAAGGAAAACTAGTAAATTCCAAATACGGACTATCAGGAACAATAAAGCAAGTTCTTCTCAACCACAACCTAATCTTTCACTGTATTTTTTCTAACCCATGAATATTTCAGCTTCAGATGGAGTGCACAAATGGCCTGGATTTAATAAATAATCCCCCAAAAAAAGAATTATTTTCAGAATCCCAGTGACAAACTGAAGGAGACTAAATATGTGAAATACCAGATACCCATTTTAATATAACAACTTATGGGAGATATGGGCCAAGTGACTTCCTGTTCCTGGAATATTTTAATAGACAGAATTCATCCTGTAAATGTAGGATTACCTGAAGAGTGTTTCTTTTCTTTTCTATTCTCTCTTGGCTCTTATGTGGTAACCGCCAGCTCCATCACCTCTAAGTTTGGGAAAGCATTCTTCATTGAAAATAATCATGCTCTTATCATCTTTAAAAATATTAATTACATGAGTTGACATTTGGGAAGTTGATCTCTTTTGTCAGAGCTGAGGTTTTATGAGTTATGAATAACTGAGTAGCTGAGAATTCCTTAACTACTCCGAATCTGAGTTTCTTCATTTATAAGATGGGGAAATTAATACCTACATCACAGGTTGCTGGGATAATTTACTGAGACAGTTTATGAAAGCATAGAACATCCTAGAGGCCCTACGACTCTTGTTTCTTTTTACCACTTTTTACCACGTCTCTTTTTCCTTATTTTCTAGCTATACTTTGACGAAGTTGTGCATAAAGTATGTGATGTGATGATTTAACATACATATACACTGTAAAATGATCATTACAAGTCAGTTAACACATCTATTACCTTCCATAGGTGTGAATTTTTAAATTTTTCCTTTTCTTTTGCTGTGATTAAAACACTTAAAGAGAACTCCATTGACAAATTTCAAGTATATAGTGTTATTAATCACCGTGCTATAATATTGGATCTCCAGAATTTATTGATCCTGAGGAACTGAACTTTTGTTCCCCATCATCATCATCTTCCTCTTCCCTATTTCTACTCTGTAGCATCCATCCTTCAACTCTCAAAATGACAGGACTTCATTGCTAAAGGCTATATATTCCATTGTGTGAGTACATGTCACATTTTCCATATCTATTCATCTGTAGACAGGCTTTTGGGGTTCCCTATCTTGGCTATTGTGATTAATAGTGTAGTGTTTACTTTTGTGTGTTCTGATTTTGGCTATGCCTTCCTGAGGGAACCTAACCAAGTTCATTCTCCAACATCTTTCATATATAGACATCTGGGAGACTCAACTTTGGGGAGATTTCTGTTTATTTATCGGTGACCATGTTGTAAGGATATGTACATATGTACACACACACACACACACACACACACACACACACACACTGCAGAATTCTTCACTTGCAGAACTTGATTGGATACTTCTAGGTACCTTACCTGTCACCAAAAAGAACTAGAACTCAACAGCACTAGCAGGCAGAGACACTCTAAATCCGTCTGGACTCACGAGACCCTAAGGACAGAAATGTCCTACATTGCTGCAATATAACTTTGGGTTTCTTCATGCCTCCCACAATGGATACCCACTCCTGGGTCAGAGAAAGGAGCTTCTGGACCTTTGGGCCCAGGACCACTTCAGACAGTGCAAGGACTAGCCTTCTACTTCTGTGTTCCTTCATCCCCTGGCATACCCAAAAAGAAAGGCCATTTTCACCAGCACCCCCAATTCCTTAAGAACTGGACCTGAAGTGCCTGGGAAACTTTTACCCTGAACACCAGAGAGATTACTTAACTTTAGCATACCTCAAATACCATTGCACCCCTTAAGATGTTTTTTGAAAACCAAAATAATTGAATTTTTTAAAAGAAGTAATTTTTATTAAAAGTTAGTCTTAACCATCTGCAGTGTCAGAAAAATGTGTTATTGTGTGAAGTGCTACACAATTCTGAATAATTTAGCACTTAGCTTCTTTTCTGCTTTGTCTTTGAAATATACCATTACACAATAAGTTTAAGTGAATACAACAGAAAAAGTAGCAATTAGTATCATACTAAATGTGCAAAAACTGAAGGCCTTTACCTTAAAATCAGGCACAAGACAAGAATGTCCCTTATCACCACTCCTATTTAATATAGTTTTGGAAATACTAGCCTGAGAAATTAGACAAGAGAGAGAAACAAAAGGGGTAAAGATAGGAAAAGATGAAGTTAAATTATCATTATTTACAGATGACATGATACTCTACATAGAAGACCCCCAAAACTCCATTGAAAGACTCCTAGATAAAATAAACAAATTCAGCAATGTAGCTGGATACAAAATCAATACACAAAAATCAATAGCATTTCTATACACTAAGAACAAAATTACAGAGAGAGAAATAAGAGAAGCCACACCCTTCACACTAGCAACTAAAACAATGAAATATTTAGGAATTATTCTCATGAAAGAAGTGAAAGATCTATATAGAGAAAATTATAATACACTGAAAAAAGAAATTGAAGATGATCTCAGAAAATGGAAAGACATCCCTTGCTCATGGATAGGAAGCACAAACATTGTGAAAATGGCCATTCTCCCAAAACTGTTATACAGATTCAATGCAAATCCAATAAAAATACCATCAACATACCTCATAGATCAAGAGAAATCACTCCTAAAATTCATCTGGAACCAGAAGAGACCTAGAATAGCAAAGACAGTTCTAAGCAGCAAAGGCAAGGCAGGAGGCATCATAATCCCTGACTTGAAATTATACTAAAAAGCAACTGTAGCAAAATCAACATGGTACTGGAATCAAAACAGTGATGGAGATCAATGGAATAGATTAGAAAATACAATCACAACTACAAACACATTCAACCACCTTATCTTTGATAAAGGGGCCAAACATGTTTATGGAAAAACGACAGTCTCTTTAATAAATGCTGTTGGAAAAACTGGCTCTCCATATGCCCAAAACTAAAACTAGACCCATGCCTATCACCATGTACTAAATTAAAATCTAAATGGATCAAAGATCTGAATATTAAAACAGAAACACTAAATTTATTGGAAGACAAATTGGGTAAAAATCTTGAAGACATAGGAGTAGGTAGAGAATTCATGAACAGGAATCAAACCGCACGGGAAATACTTCCCAGAATCAATAACTGGGATCATCTCATATTAAAAAGTTTTTGCATGCCAAAAGAAATCTCCAGCAGAGTGAAAAGAAAACCCACAAACTGGAAAAACATCTTAGTGAACTGTCCCTCACACAAAAGACTTCTGTCTAAAACATAAAGAATTTTTAAAAATCGGATCCCCAAAATTCAAAGATTAAATTCAAAAATGGGAATGTGAGATGAATAAACAATTCTCAGATGAAGAAATACAAATGGCAAATAAATACATGAAAAATGTTCATCATCATTACTCATTAGAGAAATGCAAATTAAAACCACACTGAAATTCCACCTCACTCCTGAAAGAATGGCCAAGATCAAGAAAACTACCAACAACAAATGCTGGAGAGGCTGTGGGGAAAAAGGAACTCTCTTGCACTGTTGCAACCTTTGGTGCAACCAGTGTGGAGGTCACTTTGGAGATTTCTCAAAAAGCTGGGATTGGAAGTCCCATTTGTTCCAGCTATTCCACTTCTAGGCACATTCCCAGAAGAAATGAAAACATCATACCACAGTGATGTAAGTGCACCTATGTTTATAGCAGCACAATTTGTAATTGTCAGATCTTGGAAACAATCTAAGTGTCTATCGACTGAGGTATGGATAAAAAACTTGTGGTATTTTTATACAATGGAGTACTACTCAGCTATAAAGAAGGATCACATTGAGATATTTATAAATAAGTGGGCACAGCTTGAGACCATACTCCAAAGCAAAATAAATCAAACTCACATATATAAATAATGAATAGTTTCCCTAGTGTTAGAAATGGTAAGAATACATAAAAGCATGTGGTAATCATGATTCCCCATTATATTGTTTTGAAGTCTTACAATGTTTTCATTCATTAATTGGAATGGTTTTATTCTGGTGTGTTTGATTTTCTTGTCTGTGATGGTATGAACAGTTATTTTGAAGAAAACAAGAGGTTAATTATAATTTATAATATTATAATTATAATATAATACATTATATAATAGCTAGTGATGATTTAATATCAGCTTGGTTTGTTCTTCTGTTTCCATCAGTTTTATCATGTTGTATTTAATTGGATTTTTTTATATGTGATGGTATAAACAAAATATTTTATAGTGAGGGAGATAATATAGCAACAATTGTTCGTTTTCTGTTAGTTGGTTCTAAATACCCTGTAATACTTTTACCCTCTTGAATTGTTTTCCACTGTCTTATTATGTTTGATAGTATATGAAGGCATACTCAAATATTTCAAGGAAAGAGACACTATGTTATGTCGGGTTATCCTGTGGTGAAACACTATGTTGCTTAAATTGTTCTGTTCTGACCTGTGTTACTATGTTCTCTTTCATCCTAATCTCTCCCTTTTTATATATATTTTTTAAATAAAAAAAGAAAAAGTGGCAATTGTTTTATCAAAGTCCTATTATTTATTTTTAAAATATTGAAGTGTTATAATGGTTAACTATGGTGCATGTATGCATATGCATGCATACTCATAAAATTGATGGCCTTGTTATTTGGTTCAATTTACTTGTTACATATTATTAATTATGCATAACTTATGTGTAGCTAATTATTTCATGCATTCAAAAGTCATGGTCTGTGTTCTAAGGGTAGAAACTGACTTCATTAGAAATTTGAAGTCAAATTTTAGAATTAATTCCTAAATTATAGTGAATGGTAATTACCTACTTGTGCTATGTTTATTTTGGGGGTTTATCTCAAAATAATTGTAATTTGGAACTGATATTTTTCCCTTATTAGACCAGTTTCTCTCATTACCCATCTTATGTTCAGAAGATGTGAACTTATTTGGATTATAGCCCCCAACATACACAGAGACTGAAAATTCTGGCACCAGTATCTCACGATGCATTCTCAAACAATGCTTTTCAATTCCACTGAGAATGGAAGATGGTAAAGCACTAAGACAACATCATCTCTCTCTTTGCATGTTCTCTCTCTATAGGGAGACATGACAGGAGGGCTGCGAGAGCCAGAAGAGGCAGGCTTCCCAGGAATAGATTTAGAAAGAAGCTATAGTTTAGTCCAAAGTGAGAAAGGGGGAAAGACTGAGTAAGGAACCAAGGGCCAGGGTGCTCATCAAGAAGATGGAGTAGTCTGACCCGATCAGGATGGAGGTGGTGCACAGCCTTTCTCTTGTCATGCAACAGGGACAATTAGGAAATGACTGTAGGTATAAATTTTAGCCATGACCGAATAATGCCCAACCTGTTCATAAACCTCATTTTAAACTGAAATTAATTTAGCTCCTTTTCTGAGTAACAAATTAACATTTTATGATAATTAAGCTACAGACACAAAACTAAATGCTTCTTTAAACACTATGATCACCAGCATCATATCCAATTTGTCATTATTAAATTGTGTGTTAGGTTAAATATTGAACATGTTTCAGATTTGTTATTGGTAACTACTTTTCTTTTTAGATTTTTCTTCATGGAAACAATTTAAACAGCCTTCACCAACTAATACATCCGGAATTTTTGCCCTCTGAATTTGGAGGAACCCTTCCTCCTTATGACATGGGAACATGGGCCCGGACGTTACTCGGTCCTGACTATAGTGATGAAAATGATTATACTCATACATCCTATAATGCAATGCATGTGAAACATACCTCCTCCAATCTGGAGAGAGAATGTTCGCCCAAGCCAATGAAAAGGTAAGGTCAGCATCACCAGTCTCCAAGTCAAAGGTAAATGGAAGTTTTTGATTTACACCTGTTGTAGATTGTGTAACTGAGGACTTCTGGGGCGCAAAATTGAATAAAATAAATTGAGATACATTCCTAGTAGATTTCACTAGAATTGAAAGCAAATGGGGCTTAGTTGACCCAGAAATACAGTTGTCATGCTAAATAGCTAAAGGCTAGGACCTTGCTCATGTCTTGATTACAGCTTTGGCCTCTTGGGAGTCTATACTTCAAGATGGCATTTGAGGTACACTAAATGACAAAGGAATGAGCTAGAAAAAATTACTATCATTCATTTGTTTGGGGAAAAAAATAAATGTTTAGTTGGTTGCAGCTCTGATTTTGAACCAGGGACATTGATACAGACAAAATTTGGAAGTAACAGAGAGGTGCATCTCTAGAAAATCAGATAAGACTTTGGTGATCATTTTTGTTAAGTGATTAACATTCAAGCTGGAGTTTGAAGGAGCAGTACTGGTGTAAATCTAAAAGGGAATGCATTGCTGATCAAAGGCGATAGAGTCAGGAGGCCTTATACAAACAGGATGGTCTGGTACCCCAACGTTGTGTGAGAGTGAGGGATTGGCAGGGAAAAAGAAGCCCCAAAAGGGTTGAATCACATTTGAAGAGAGTTGCATTTGTATTTCTTACTTTAATTTTAGAAGTGCTGGAGATTGAGCCCAAGGCCCTTGCATGCTAATCAAAAGCTGAGCATTATCCCCAAATGAAGGGATATTTTTCATATTTTTCTCATTGCAAAAATAAAAACTTACTTTTAAGACTAAAATCCCTTTCCACCGCCATCCACAATCCCAATCCAACTCTCTAGGTGTGCATGCTTACCAGTCACGTTGGGCCCTTCCATTCTGCTCTTCATCCTTGACATGCATATGTACACACCCCTAGGAAACCTCTGTTAGTAGGCATTAGTGCTGCAGGCTTAGAGATACAAGCAACAAAAAACATTTTCTCCTGGTTCTGGAGGCTGTGAAGTTCAACATCAAGTTGTCTATAGGTTTGGTTTCTCTGAAGTCTTGACTTATAGATGATCATCTTCTCCCTGTGTCTTTGGTGTATGTCTGTGTTCTAATCTTCTCTTCATATGAGGACATCAATTATATTGGATTAAGTCCTGTGTCTCCTTTAGCTGTAATTAATTGTTAAAGACTCTCCAAATCCAGTCAAAATATGAAGGCCTGGTGGTTATAACCTGACATAAGAATTTAGCAGACGGTGGGGATAACAACATTGGGCTGAGAGCAACATTACTGGGAATGGGCTCTCACATATCAGTCACTAACATCAGCTTTTGCAGAAGAGACACAAACCAACCTCTTAGCACCTGGCCAAAATGTCCCTGAGAGTTCTGACTGCCACTTTTGGGAGGGTGCCTATTATATTATGCAACTTCTTATCATGCAGTACATCTGAATATAGCTTATGGGTTAAATACTGTAGAAGATTCTATAGCTTGGATATAATAGCTATTCCCTTCTTACTAAGCATTTCAGTTATTTTTGAGCTTTTTCTCTATTCCAAACAAGGCACAATGAATGTGCTTGGTATGCTCCTTACTCTCCTACGAAAATTCCTCTGGATACAAGAAAATTCCTCTGGGTACACGGTGGGTAGGAGAAATGTGCATTTTTACCTTTAGTCCATACTACACGGAAGTGTTCAGACTCAGTTTATCACTACCAGTATGGGAGATCCTTTGCCTGACTCTGGAAAAATATTTCATAGCACCATATTTTAATCACAATCCTGAGGGGAAATCCCATGTTACTTTTGTTTTGACTTTTTATTTCCTCACCATACCTAGTGAGTTACACAGAAAAATGACACAACTGGCTCTAAGAATCTTGGGATTAACAGGAAAGAATTTGTGGACCAGAGAGTAGAAGCTGTTTGAAGCTTAGGTAGGAAGATAAGAGCCAGAACCAAAGCCAAATAGAGGAAAACTCGTTCCATTCTAGAGAATTTCAGACATTGCAGGAGGCTGAGTGTCTAGGTTGAATTTCCTTGCAATAAGAATATGCCTGTCCATATCTGAAACTACAATAGAGAATACAGCATGAGGATCCTACACTTCCTGGATAGCTGCAAATGTTCCAATCAAGCCTTTAGTTGGTCCACAAGGGTCTATAAGTTCCTAAACTCCACAAATTGGCAGTCAGAACTGTCAGGGACATTTTGGCCATGGTGCTAAGTTGGTTTGTGTCTCTTCTCCAAACAGCTGACGTTAGTGAGTAGAACATGGGAGAGTATCCATTCCCAGTAATGTTGCTCTCAGCCCAAACAAGAGAAAAATGATAACAGATTCTTCTGAACTTTCAGCCACACTTTAATTCATCACCACAGTTATGTAAGAAAGTACTTTTGTTCCCTTTCACAAATAAAGAAAATGATACTGAGAGAGTTTCACCAACTACCCAAAGTCACAGCAAATAAATTGCTAAACTGGAATTCAGATCGGGCAATCTGTCTGTGGGTGCTGTGTTCATGTCCACCATGCAATACACACATCACACTTCATGCTTTCCCTTTTAATTTCTACCTTGAGATCTCCAGGGTGGAGACAGTGATACACCCGTATGAGGTCTGTCCCTATCTATCTCTAGAGACACTTGGATAAGGCCAGGGTATTTCATGTATATTTGACCTCTGAACATAGCATAAAATGGGAATTTTACAGCTTTTCCCCAGGTGACCAGTGACAGTATTTGAGTGACAGACATGTCCTGTTCCTAATTCTACTTCTGAGTTGATGTTGAGGATCAGAGGAAGGGTTAGTGTCATCATTAGACTCTGGGTTTTAGAAAGAAAAGAGTTTTTTGACTTCTATTCCTATTATCCCTCCTTCAAAAACCCAAGTCAATGCCCATTACGCAGCAGACACCTGTGTGTGTCCCTCTAATATGGAAGAGAGTTAATTACCTCTAAATCCAAATTTTTCAGAAGAGGGAAATAGCCTGCTCCCCTTACCTTTAACAAGCCTCACCTGGCCCCTGCTTTAAGATTTTTGTATTCTAATAATGGAGAGAGGACACAGCCACAAAGGACTATATTAGGGACAGAGTAGGAAAGCTATTATATAGGTTTTCTAAGCAAGTATCACTAATTTCAGCCAGGAAGACTCTGGGGAGCCTTCCTGAAGGAAAGAGTGGCTAACTTGGGTTTTGAAGGTCAAGTACATTCCTCTAATTATGTGAGTCAAAATCCAAAATTAGACAGACAGAGAAGGTAGTGATTGTATACCCACCTCCCTTCCCATACCATCGCTACCAAAACTAGTGTCCTGGTGCCCTCTGTGCTGCTCGTGCCCGCTGCCTTTTGTCATGACTCTGTGAAACTTTACCTGGGTATTTAAGGCAGTGGCAGGATAGGTAGTGATGCTGGCAAGGAAGGGTTCTTACTGTGGTTGGCATATGTCTTCCATCTGGTGTCTCACTCATGGAGAAACAGAGCAGTTGCCATTCATAGCGTCTTTTTAACCTCTCAGAATCCAGAGATGTGGAAGACTTAGAAACAGAATTGGAGGAGACCAGGTCATCTCTCCCTTTTTCTCGCCTGACAGAGTTTTTTTTTTTTTTTTAATCCATCACAGACTTCCAGGCAGTCTCAGCCTGAACTGTCCAGAGACAGACAGGGATCTTATAAAGCAGTTGCCTGCCAAATGTCCCTGATAGAAGTGCCTCGTCAGTCAGATCCAAATAATGGCAGAGCAGCATTGTGATTTCCAGTGGGTACAGGCTGCCCATCCACATGCTTTCTGCCCTAGTGCTTAGCCTGCTTCAGGTTCATTTGGAATCAAATGGGCTTTTATGAACTGTGAACTTGCTTCTGGACACAAATAGCCACTGATTTCCAAGTGACTCTTTCAAACACTGCATTTGGTATACAGGTAGCGTATGATCCAAGATGCCCTGAAGCAAATGTATGCTTTTCTATAGGAATTTCTTTAAATAATTTCAGTGTTATTCTCTTTAATCCAGTGATGACTGGGTGGGCTTTTAAAGTGTGGCATTCTGTACTCCAATATTAAATGACCTGGACTTTTTTATTTTTAAATTCTCATTTGTGTTTTTCTTTTTACTTTTGCTTCTTAGAAGCCTCTATTTGCTCCCAAGCCCTGGCAGCTCTTGTTGTCCTTGGAATGTATAGATGAGGTTTTCTATTTCTTTGTAGCCAGTTCACTACTTGAATATGTTGTAAGATTACAGAATAGGTGGCTAACTGTGTTTAAAAAGCCCAATGAAAAACAGTAAGCTTCACATCAGTTTTGACTGTTTATGTTGCAAATATAAGAAAACCTTAAGTGACCTGCTTTAAATGAGGAGAATTCCACATAAGGAAACATCTCCAATTCACATGACTGCAAGATTTCTGTGCCAGTGGGCTTGATACTGACAACAACCCAGTTCTCTCTACTGTGTAACCGAATCACTCCCAGGAAGGTGTCTGTCTCTAGCTCACATGACCAAGAAGGAGAAGGGAGTGGCATGGTTTGACAACTAACAGTCCTGATACAGGCTTAGCCAAAAGAGCAAGCCTGGAATTTCCTCCCCATATACTGAGTTAATTTTTAAATCAGTGTGCATGTGTTGTGATTCTTTAAAAACTTATTAACAATGTTTATTAATTGCTTGCCTCTGGTTTTGGCCTTTATTGGCGATAAAGTAATCAAAATGGCTATAGATATTACTCAAAATTCAAATACACAGTGAGTCTGTCTTGAAATAACTATTAGCAAATGGTCAGTCACTTTGGGGAGATTTACAAAATTTTTCATCAGTGTATGTTTGCAGTACATGACAGTTACTCTCACTGTGGGGGTATTATAAGCACACAACACGTTTTGATTTTTTATCCCCTTTCTCTCCACTCCCTCCCTAAACACACACACACACACACACACACACACACACACACACACACGCATATAATCATAGAGTATATATGTATTTATT